ACCTGCTCTAAAGCGCCTGTAATCCTGCGCTGCTTAACTAGGATTAAGCTTAAGAAGTCTGCACTAGTCTTAGGAATCTAGGTAGGAACTCCTATTAGAGTACCTGTATAGGCAGCGGTATAGCGGCGGGTTGCAAGCTTAAGATTAAATTAGCGCTAGCAACGCGCAAGCTTAGCGCTAGCACTTAGCATAGTAGCACTAATTCTAGAATTATTAGAATTTAATACAGTAGTGTTATACTTAACCTAAAGGCGATATAGCTAGTTAAGCTTGCTAACTATATCTCTAGGAACTTACAAAAATGTTAGTAAAAGTTTAAATATCTAGAAAAACTAAGAGGAAAGTTACTAAGAAGCAACTGCTACAATTGCTCTTAATATAATAGCTACAGCGCTTCTGTTTAGGCTTCTTGCAAAGCTTTTTGCTAGTAGCTACGTTTTATGCGCAGCGCAGGCAAGTTAGCGTAGTAGCTACCTCTAACACGCGCTTGTTGCGCTTGCTCTACTTGTAAGGATTAGCCTTCTTAAGGATAGTTTTTAAAATGTACTTAGAAAGGAGATAGAAGACTATCTTAAAGTGCAAGTAGTGTGTAATAAGTGTGCGTTATATTATTATATAGTATGCAATGCGAAGGTGTTAAGCGTGTAAGGGACATAGAGGACAACAGCAATATATTACAATAACAACTGTTTGCTATTACTACAAGCGAGCGAAAAATTTTCCGCCTTTACCTTAATAATATAAAAATTTTTTATTATAATAAGGTAATAGTATTATAATAAAGCAACAGTCTTTATAACTCTTTCTGTTATATCTTGTTACTATAAGGTAAGTTGTAAGTATTATACAAGCTATATAAGAACAACGCAGAGGAGTCGCAAGCGCAATAGATCTAGGGCGTATAGTAGAGGACACTCTTTTCCTACTCTTAAAATAACAGGAGAGGTTTTTATTAAAGCCGCTGCTGTTGAGGACGCTAGACTAGAGAAGGAGGTTCTGTAATAAGGGCTTAAGACACACGTCTCTTAAAGGAATAGAGTACGCGCTAAACCTGCTTATAAGGCGCGCCTCGCTCTGTAGAGCAAGGTAAGAATTATTCTCTTTATAACCTACACCTGTAGTCTAAATACACAAGCTATCTCCCACTATCTTTAGTAACGTGAAGCAAGCACTATTGCCTACAGTTACGCCTTACAGGTAGAGAGCCTAATCTGCTACTACATTAACTACATTACAAAGCTTAAGTTTCTCCTAGCGTTTAAGACAGCGTTTAATTAATTGTTTACGCTAGCTAATATCTGCTTAGCTTTCTGCAGCGCAGGCCTTGTTTCTTTCTAGCTAGACGCTGTCCTTTTAAAGCTAGACGTGCAGCTCCGTACGCCTACTCTAGCTGCTCTACTAGAGGCTCCTTAGGAAGCTTGTACGCTAAGCAACATACGCGAGCTTAAAGCTTAATTAACATTAATACGTAAGCGCGTGCGACAGCATAAGAGCTTATTACTAGCTTTAATTATTTAGGTAATTAACTAGCTTAAGAAGAGCGCTAAGGTAATAATACTCTTAGCTAAGCTAATGCGCGATTAGATTGCTAGCCTTAAGAAGGCTAATAAGGCAGCGTTAGCGCGTAAACAGCGTAAAAAAAAAGCGTATACAACAGCAAGAAGTCTTAATAAAGGGAGCTAGCGAGGATATACTCGCTTAACGTAAGGCTAATTAGCAGATTACTCGTAAGCAGCGTTAAGAAGGAGAGCGATTAGGCGTAAGCCGCTAGGCTCTCGCGCGCTGTAAGAAGTGCAGAGAGACTAGACATAACTCTTGTACGTGCAAGAAAGATACCTTAGATACTGCTTAATCTGCTCTATTAATATCTATATATTATCTTGTAAGGTGGTTAAGATATACGCGTGTAGAGGTGCGCAAAGTTAGTGGGGTGCGTCACTCGCTTGTACGCGTCACTCGCTTGTAAAACATGTTATGCAATATCGCATGAACTTGAGACCATATTTGGAAAAACCTTACACGCAGCATCAGCGCCTTTGTTAGTGATATATGAGCACGCTAGACCTGATGGATGCGAACAATCGATATTGCATGTTATAAGATATCAGGCAAACCTAGGATACAGAGACACCTGGAAGATTTTGGTCTTCTTCGCCGAGCGGGTAGTCTAGCCTAGTCGGGCCGGACTAGTGGAGTGAACCCATGACAAAGTGAACGCGACCAGACCTGTAACACTAGATAGTTACAAGACCATGTAGATGCTTGGTTCGTATGGGTTTGAAAACAGCTTTTACCTTCTATTCAGCGCGAAAATAGATCATATCACAGAACTCAACGATAACACCCTCTAACCAAACGGATCGAAAGTGCTCGGATCGTAATCCTTCCCCTCTTGCCACATCTCGACTACAACCTTGTCCTTCCATATGCCATCCGACCTTCTCTTCTCCCATTTTCGGGATACGGTATAGTGCCATATCTTTGTACTTCCACCCGCTGCGACGAAGGCCACTTCGATTCGCTGAATCGCGCTTTCCCGACCAAAGTCATGCCATAAGCGCAGCATTAAGTTATGGGCAACCTTCTCTTTGATCTGAGGTGAACCCACTGACCATGAATTCGGGTATGAAATCAGCTGGTATGTGTCTACATCCAGATAAAATGTGAGGTGAAGCTGTTCGAGGTTGCGAAACGAAGTCAGCGCTGAGTGGACAGATCGATGAGTCGCGGCGCTCGGCGGTGTCCATGGCGAAAACGACAGAGCCGAGGGTTTGAGCGAAGAAACACCATGCTTCTGCGAGCTAGAGATGGTGAGGAGCTTCTTCAAACGTGCAACGACCGATGTCTTGCCCGTAGCCTGATCGTCCGGCCATACGCTTGACCCCTTCGTTCCCTCTTTTCTCTGCACTTTCATTGGCAATCGTAATATCTTTATCCCTCGAGCTGTCTCCGCTAGATTGTGAAAGTGCTCGGGTTCCCACGCTACACTCCTTGCATATTTTGCTTCCAAACTACGCAGGCTCTGTCCATGCTTGGCTAGAAGTGTAGGTCGCACCATTTGCATGTCGTCGTCATCATCACAATACGTCTTCACATTTCTCAGTGCATCGATTGAATTGAGAAAACGCTCAAGAACTTTCATGTCCCTGTTCGAGTTCCAATAAGCCCTCGCAGCGCCGTAACCCTCCCAGAAGCCGAAGCCGAGTGTCTTGAGCTGTGACACACGTCCTGTCAATGCTTGTAGAAGGGCTGTAGGGGTACCGTGACCGAGATCTAAGGTATGTAGCCGACCCCAATCCATGCAACGTGACCACATCTGACAGTTCTCTGCAGTTGGAAAGTAGTTCTGATGCTCTGGATCTAAGGTCAACTCCTCGAGTGCCGGGAACATATCACCGTCCCGAAACGGAAGATTGAGCGGGCTTTCTTTGTAGTTGTCATTCATGTGCCAGGAAGTGTGCCAGGAAAGGTCGCCGACTTGCAAACGCAGAGTCTTCAAGTTGCGGACTTGGAGTAGGCACTGTTTCAGCTCGGACATCTCCGAAGGACAAACGTCGCATGGTCGTTTTGCAAGAGCAGTAAAGTCCAGGGTGTCCAGATGTGAAGACGACAGAATAGCCTTGTCCATTGCATGAGGTCCACGATCGTTGTTGATGTAGGTAAGTCGCATATTAGGGCGATCTACCAACAGTGCCTGCAATGAAGGCGGGAAGGGGTTCGGAGTCTCCCATCTGTGATGTGTCAGCTTTCTGGAACCGTGGTGCGGATGCGTGGGATTTACGATAGTCTCTGTAGCTGCACCAAATGACTCCAGCAGTCTACCAGTAACGTTACGAGCTTTTCGCAAATCTCAGGATCATATCGGACGGGTCTGACTCGAATGCATCTTATTTTTTCGCCGGTCGCCTTACCTGACATTCGCGTTCCCTGTAGGATTGTTGTTTCAACGTCGTTCACACCTGCAAGCGTAATCTCGCGAAATAGAAACTCCTCAGAAGAACTTCTGCTTGCGCGGCACACAACTCGAAGCGCGTGGAACGCCGCATAATCGTCGTGAAAGAGTTGAGCAAAGATACCGGAAAGAACACTTTGCGGCAGGGCGACGAATTGAGAAGACATTGTCAACGATGCGCGCACGTTTCGCACAGGTAGAGATAATTGCTATTGCGGCTGAAAGCAGCGTGTCTGTGTTCGAGACGGCGGACTGTATATATGTGAAAGTGCAGCCTAGGTGGATATTACCCCGGTTCTACACAGCCCGCAAGCCACCCGTTCGGATAAAATAGATTACACGACTTAGCGCCCACCAACTAGCGCCGCCTCTTGCCAGGGTTCGCTGTTCCAACTACGCCGACCCATCGCTGCAGTATCGAGGGATGACAGCATACTGTTCATCGCGTTAGTAGACTCCTGCTGAAGGTTGCATGTGACTCACTTCATCGCTCCAGAGAGAGTAATGTTTGCTCCACTTGGTTTTGAAGACTGTTGGCGCTTCTATGTTTCCAAAGAGCTCTGCACCAGCGTCCATACCGTAGCAGTAGATAAAGGGTTGATTGCTGCCAACTTTCGTATTCGCATACAACTGCGCATACGAATCGACACCCAGATCGAGCTATTCATATGTCAGACGCTTTCAATGCCATCACTCTCACGCTTATGCTTACCGCAGCATTAGATATTGCAGAGCTATCAAACACAATGCCGAACGTCACTTTTGGGATAATGTGTACAGTGACCTTGCCCGAGGCGTCCAGGTCCCAAGTAAATTGGTCATGGACACCGGATCCAGAAACATCTTTCTTCGTAGTCTCCTCGTCGGGTTTGTCGTCCTCACCATCGGGGATGGGATATCGCATTGAGTAGTCCCACCCAGGCATCTCCATCTCATACGTTGCGTTGATTTTCAGTTGCGCTTCTCCAGCGAGTGAACCAATGATACGGAAATCAGGGCCGATGGTCACAAAACCAGGAACGCGGAACGTTGCGCCAAAGTTGTGGGCTCCAAACAGCTCAACATCACCAGTGTGGAAGGAAACCTTGCCAAAGGCTTCGAACTTGAGTTGCGCTGTCACCTGGCCTTCCGTGCGGAACCAAGCGGAAGACTCCTCGAAACTCTCAAGGTTTCCAAGCTTGCCGATAACGGTGACTCCACCTGCCGTTTGGACGTCAAGATCCATCTCAACCCAGCTCTTGAAGTACAGATCGTCCGCCCACTCTGCACAATCTGTCAGGGTCTCCTCGAAGATCTTGATGTTGAATTGTTCATGCACCCGGTGCCTGACGCCCTCATACTTGATGTCGACGTCCCTTTGTTTGTCCCACCATTCTTTCACGTTGCCTGACCACCATCTCTTGTGCAACTCAGTGTAGTGCAGCTCGCGCTTTTCCTTGCGCCAAGCATGTTCTAGCCAGGCCTTCTTGTTGCCACCAAACATTGTCTCGATCTCCAGATCTCGTTTGCGCTTGTGTTTTCCAGGAGGTGCTTCGATAATGCTGTCCCAATAGCCAGGGTTGTCACTGTAGTCAATGCGTACCAAAACATTAGACTGGTCAGCGCGCTTCTCGAACGTCGTGAAATCATAGTCGAATGTGAAGTCATATACAGCGGCATCGCTAAGCCCCCGCTTCTCAAGTCTGTGTCGAATGTGGGCATGGGTAGTCGAAGACTCCATTTTCCTCGCGACAGCATATTTGCCAGGGCCGCAGTCGCTGGGCATCTCAACGACAGTGTGCTCCAAGCCGCCTCTGAAAATGATGTCGCAATTACTGTTTTCGGACGAGTCCGTACATACCGCCTTCACGGTTTGGCGATTCTCGCCGGCGGTGTTATCGCAGTCGAAAAGTTCCCAATGTGAGCCATCGCGTTTGTTGACTGTCGTGATTTCGTCTTCAGGGCCGGACATGATGTAAAAGCCAAAGGCATGATCATCAGGATCGTTGCTATTTCCTGGTGTGATCTGGCCACCCATTGTCTGATCAACCTTGATGGTAATCTTCTCGGTGTTCGAGTCGGGTCCAGGGGTAGGGAACAGGTTCCTGCGATCTGTCAGAGAGGCACGCACATAAGAGAAATGAAGAATGAGTGACTTACTTCAACGGCACGGGCAGATTGATGGTTTCCTGGCACAGTTAGCAAGCCGCAAGTCAGCACGAGCATTGGGAGAGGTTACCTTGCCCATGCCTCTGGTATCGCAACAAAAGGCGAGATCTGCATTGTACCACGACCAGACGCCCATCTGTTGAGGTATCGTGTACTTGCACTCGTGTGTACCATCTCCTTTGCCATCGCCATTTGGTCCGCCGTACTGATCCTGGTCGATTTTGCTAGTGGTTGAACTGCAAAATTCCGAGTTTGAACAGATTGGGATGTTACCGCCCTCGTTCCAGTAACACGAAGATGTGTCGATGCCTTTTTCGCAGCAGTAAGAGAGGCCCTTGTTGCCTTGACACGTTCCACGTTTGGTGGTCACGAAGTTGCGATCTAAGGGGTCTTTTAGCTCAACTCCAGAATGACGTCAACATGACACTCACCTCCACAGACGCTTTTGAGACTGTTTGAGTTCTGCGGCCTCCCATCCTTCAAATTCAGACACTCATCTGTCCAACCACACACATCGTTGACACCACCAGTGGAACTCTCACAGCAGTATTGTGCAAAGCCAAACCAGCAGGACAGGTGCTCGTCGTCGATGTAGGGCTCCGTACTTGATACAACAGGTATCTCGCCGTCGTGACAAGCGCCTGAGCACCAGAATCCCTCGATGCCTTGTTGACCTCCAGACCATCTGCATTTCTTTGGATCCGGAGTCGACTTCAGAGGACAGCACAAAGTCTGCCTCTGAGCTTTGCCGTCGCGCATGCCGCAGTATTGCTGAGCGCCAGCTGATTGATAGCCGGCACCACACGATGTGGTACCACAGGAAGACCATGCGCATTCAGTTCCTGTTGCAGAGCCGAAATCACCTTCATCGATAGCGCTTGAATCGTACCCATTCTGCTCGGCAAAGACGTCAAGTTTTCCGCCTAAGAGGGCTTTCAGTGCCGTATGGTCCGTGTCGTCAAGGTCTATAGACCAGACAAATAGACCAAGCAGACTAATCCTCAATCAGTGGGCATCGGCTTGGGAGTGACAAGATTACTCACCCTTGTTCTTTCGCGAAATCGACCTTGTCCTGGAGCGTTTCTTCATCGTCGTAAGACACCCACTGATTGTTGGAGCCCCAAGCCAAATACTTCACTCCAGCCTCCTTATCGTAAATCTTTTCGAGGTTGAAGCGCTTGATATACGACTCAATCTCGGCGAAAGAAAGTATACCGCTTTCGCCGGTGCATTGCCCAGCCACGCCAGGTGCTGAGTGCTTGCAACCAGGCTTGTTGCAATTCGCGTCCTCGAGGGTGTACGACCGACCATAGAACCCAATGCCCAGATTTATGCGATTTGCAGGTACACCCATACGCCAGAACAAGTCAAGAGATTCCTTGATCTCTGTCTTGTTGGTATGTGCATAGACGTACGGCCCGATGTAAGTGCCAGGCGCGTCCCAGCTGCCATGTCTAATTCACTTGTTAGGTCCATGCTGCTCGCAAAGTAAGATGTCGCACTCACAGATCGTAAGACATAAGATTGATCCAAGAAACGTATTTCCAAAGCAGGTCAATCTTGAACCATCGCAAATACCAATAAGAAGATGGTGCGGTGAACGAGATGCCATAATCATCTCCTGCGAGCTCAAATACCGTATTGAGTGCTTCGAGGAGCAGAACAAAGTTACCTGGATCATCCGGTTTACCACCGCGATCTGAAGAGTCGAATTAGTCAGTCGTATTGAGGGGACGATCATAAGCAACATACCTGGTGCGCCCGGATACTCCCAGTCCTTTTGGTAGTGTTAGAAACTCTGCCCAAGATATGCCAGCAAAGGCGACTTACCAGGTCGACCCCATCAAATCCCCATGTCTTCATGAACTTGTGCAGATTCGCGGCAAATTTGTACCGATTGGCGCCCGTGCGTGCAAGATCTCCCCAGACAGCCTGCGTATCGGTACCGTTATCGCTATAAGTCCAACCACCCAACGAGATCCAGATCTTGAGACCTGGCGCCTTTTGTTTCAGGTTTGTGATCTGAGAGAAGACATCGTCCGAGGTGCGCGGCATGGGTACAATTTCAAACGTCTCCGGCTCGATATATGCAAACGCAAGGTTGAGATGGGTCAGCGAGCCAACTGGGACATCATCGATCGTTCGTTTGGAGCAACTTCTTGTCGTCAAACTCCACCCTGCCCAGTAGCTGGTGCAAGTTAGTGCAAGGCATCATCTTCAAAGATGGTACGCACCCAATGACCAGTTTGCGTATATCTCCGCGATTGGGCTCGCTGGAGCCAGGTTGCTCGCCTGGAGAAAGATGACAAAGTCAGCCACCATGGCGCATGCATAGACGTGGGAGCCTCACAATTGCTTTGGCATGTATCATCGCAGTAGTCTGCTTTGACGCCACAGTACCCTGATCCGCTGCAGCAGACTTTCAAGGGGCACGTTGTTCCGGGTACAGCTGCACCCGCGCCGCACTCCGATTTATGGTCACAGTTGGAAATGCAGACATCCTTTCCGCAAAAGTCGCTTCCTGACCCACACTGCGCATGTAAGATATTGATCCGACCATAACAAACGTGAAATCATAGAGACTTACCCATCCCCTAAAGTCTATCAGCAATGAAGTTTTGGGTGGGAACAGGAAACGTACGTCTTTCCATTGCAGCATTCACCTCCAGCACATGGCTCGCCTTCTGCACACCTTCCCTTTTCTGCCCTTTGCCAAAGCTCTGTTCTGGTGTTCGGTGTAATCGGAGGCGGCAATACTTGCGCCCTCCCGATGCGAGCAGCGTTAGGCAAGGCATTTCCCCCATCAAGTCGTGTTGCTTGAATTGCGCATTCTGCCAATAAGATGGTGCAAAGAAATACTGATAGACAAAGCAGCTTCAAAGATGCATACATGACTTGTAAACTCGAAATCGAATTCGCCAACTCTTGCTACAAGAGAAAGAACAGAGCGGAGAAAACTAATGAGCGTGATATGTCAAAGTATCGCAGAAACAATGATCTGTGGTATGCACGAAGCATACTCCATCTCCAGCCATTTGTGCATCCTAGCAAAACCCCTGGCAAGATACCGCCGGATATAGGAATACTAGAGCAGTCGAAGAACGCCTGGATGCATCACTACCCCTGTCGCGAGGCTGCGCTGAACACTAGAGAGGTTTCGCGAAAGTTCAAGGTGTTGGTACGATTTTCCGGATAAATCCACGGACCCGACTGCGCCGCACCAGATATTACAAGGCGACCCGCACTACCCTGATCCTGCGAAGGATCGAAACGCAAGATCATGCTCCCGTCTCCCGAGGTTGTCAAGATGCTCTGTACACCCCACGGGCTCCCACACACGGTCAGCACTAGCCTTTGCCAAGCTGAACTACATCAGGCTTGTCAAACCAAGAAAAGACAAGGTTGACGGGACAAGATTCCGATTCCACGTCTTATCTCAGGCCTCCGGCCTCTCTTCGAATGTCTTGGATATTGTGTAGGTCGTCTATAACAAATCGAGTCTCGTCTCCGCATCAACCGCAATGATGGACACGGCTCGGTTGTATCCTTTCCACGTACCTGCATACTCTAGATTCATCACGCATGTATGAAATTGGAGAATGCCTTGCACTCAACGTGAAATCTTGCGAAAGTTTATCCTAGCGTAGGATTGAGGACACCCTAATGTATGTCAGCTCGAGATTAATGGCAACCGCTCAGCTTGTCGCTGAAAATGGCGCAGAAGTGATAACTCTGCATGTGGGTTGGATACAGGGTCCACGGACGCACCGAGACCACGGTCAGGCGTTCGTTTCCCGAGACTCCGAGAAAAGGAGATATCGGAAAGAGGTAATCGTGCTCAGTCTTAGCCGGCCTAGACTGTCAAGAATGCTACACGAGTATTGAACAGCTGACGATTGCGCCCGCTCCCGGATAGTCTTGTAAGTCCTGTTCACGTACATCATCTTGCGCGAACGGAGCCTGTCTCAACGTTTATCCATCATCTCTAGGCTCGAGTGTTATTGAGCAACTGGTGCCTCGAGCTCGTGTATCATGACTCGCCTCACGCTATGGTTGCTTCTATGCACCTTCGTCTGGTCTGCACGCCAGGAAGAGATGCCGCAGCTTGATTCAAAATCGCTGAATCTCCACCCCTTTCATTACAACATGATAGTTAACACTACTGCCGACGATCCCGAGCTTGATAGATATCTTTGGAAGGGTATCAAGAACGAAGATGTAGTGCCAACGAAAACAGGAGGAAAGGTCATCACGTATAGCCTGCAATCGAGATTGGGGAAACGAGCGGTAGGATTGCCTTGGATGTAACAGTGGTTACACTCTGCTGACGTTCCCCCTCCTTAGCCTACATTCTACGGGCCGCTCATCAAGACACCATGCCTTTTCTGTGGAAAGAAAGCCAGATCAGTCTCCAATGTCAACATCGGTCAATTCACCCCAGACTCGATGATCGATAGGATGAAATGGGGAGCCAAAATCGGGCAATGCCTGTTCTACGGGCAACGTAACAAGGCCATGAAAGACAACCCGGACTACAGGGGCTCGTCTTTATCACGCTGGACCACCGATTGGGGTTGTGCTCAGCCCGTTATCAGGCAGGAATTCTTTCGCACTATTTGGGTGAGTTACAAAATACTCGAGAAGACCTTTGCTAATGGGTCTCCCACAGCAATTATGGCCAAATGAACAAGGCGATGTGCGTGACAGCTGCGAGACAGGGCAAAATTACTACTGCTTGAATTACTTTGAGCCTAAGTGCTGCTGGCTCAACGGAATCCTCGGTGAAAAGACGCAATGGAAGGAGAATGGTATGAAGTACTTCAAGGCCATGTCCCGAGCCATGGCCAGAACCTGCCAAGGCGAAGTGTTTGTCATGCTAGACAACAAGAAGATGCTCTTGAAACAATATGCCCACGCTAAAGACACTCCATCCATCTGGCTCTACGACGAACTTCCTGAACTTCAGAATCTTTACAATCAAGGGATAGTCACAAAGCTTACGGTGATACGCGTGGGGGACTGGAGGCGATTTGATCGAACAGGCTATGCATTCAGGAACGAAGAAGAACCTAAAGATGTTGATGAAGACGATGCCAATGCACCGCCTGCGGACATAAATTCGCGTCGCGTTCGCTCGGTTCCAGAGAACTACAAAGATGATCAGGAAATCACTGCGATGGCGATCAAGATGGCCAAGGCTCTGGCAAAGAAAGAAGCAGAGCTTATATTGACAGGGGAAATGGAGAAAGCTAAATCCGAAATGTATAACTTGCAAAAGCGCGGGTTGTGCACAAGTGCAGCCGACCAAGAACCTCCGGGTATGGACTGGTTTGGATGAGTACCTTGACGGCTGATGTTCGCGTGTCGCGATATTTGTCAGGACGGCCATGCATGTCTAGCTTGAATTTCATTATCATGGCAATACTCTTGTGGTCGTAAACTTCAATTTGTGTCAACAGTTCAATGGAAGAATACACCTTGAATCATCACATCTCGAGATTTGTCACGATCGTCTTCATATGCGACCAAGCGCGGTCTGACCCTTCGTGGCTAATGAAGCAACACTTGAACAGCCTGACGAAACACATAACCACGATTTGAGGCTAATCACTCAGCGAGAGGTGTCGAAAGCTGCAATAGCCGTTATAGAGTATGTCTGCCCATATATCACGTTACAAGCTCCCAATGTTTCGCGAACAGCATAAATTTCCATCTCTGGTAGCCAAGCAGCGAAACCTCAAGCAACAGATAAAGTATAGCGGAGCTTCAAGTGCCATGAGACTCAAAACAGACATTGTATTGTTTACAAAAGCATAATCTCACAAAGAAAAGTATACAGCCAAGTTCCCAGGCCGGGATAATCACCTGTCAGAGGTGCGGGCAGATCATCTGCCCACTAGATACCAATACAAACGTAGTATTGTGCCCACAAGCCGGAACAATCCGTCTTCACGGTTGGGTTCCACTTGTAAAAGTCATCCAAAGCAATTTTGTTGTTATTAGCGATGTCCCAGCAACCGTCTCCAGCCACGACCTTGTAGAACTTCTTGCAGCCCGTCACCATGCCTTGCTGTACCGGAGTCGGTGTGTTGGAAGCTGGCTTCGTTGTGGTTGGGACAGTAGAGGTCTTGAACGTTGAGGAGGCCGGTGCAGTGAATCCAATTGTGCGGATGCAGACATTGTAACCAGACCATAGCTTCGAGCAGTCGGTCCCAACGTAGGGATTCCACTGGTAGAATGAGTCAAGAGGGACTTTTGCTGCTGCAGCGATATCATAGCATCCATCTCCAGCCTTGACGAGGTAAAAGCCGTTGCAGTTTGGAACCATGCTTGGCTGTACGGGCGTCGGCGTTGCGACTCCGTTGCCAGTAGACGTCTTGACAGTGCTCGATGGCTTCATCGTCGTGGACGGAGCAGGAGTGACGGTGGGCTTCGGCGTGGGTGTGCTACCGATCAAGCCAACACAGACGTAGGTCTTGGTCCAGAGGCTTGTGCACTCACTGCCGACTGCAGGGTTCCAAGCGTAGAAGTCATCCAGAGAGATGGAGTAGGTGGACGCCAAATCATAGCACCCATCACCACTCACAACAAGATGGAACTTATTACAGTTGGTGGTCATGCCAGACTGGATTGGAGATGGAGTCGCAACGCCATTGGTCGGCGAAGGAGCCACCGTCGATGATGGAGTAGGCTTCGGCGGCGGTGGTACTCCCCAGTTCTGTTCGATGCAGTAGGAGTTCCCAACGACAAGCTTACATTCCGTGCCGATCGACGGATTCTATGACTGTTAGAGACTTTGCTAGATCCATGTCTACTATCAACTTACGTATGTCTTCAATTGATCTTCGCTGATATAATTATCCGTCGCGAGAGATGAGCAAGTATCGCTGGATATAGTGACTACCCAGCCGCTGCAGTCTGATACAGTATCTGCCGCCGCTGTTGTCGGTGGGTCCACAAGATAGGCGTTGGCCAAACCCAAGGCGCCGAGAACGAGAACGGCTCCAAAGTTTGTAGATCTCATGATGGCAAGAAGTTTTCTTAAAACGAATGTGATTTGAAATGAGCGACAAGTGGAAACGAATGATTCCTGTGATCGTCATTGAGAGGCACTGTATACGTCTTTTAACCCCTCGTTGAGAGGATCATGATAGATCCATTACTCTTGTCAACCGTGATCATCGTTGCCACCCGTACACAATTTCGCTTGACGTACGGTCAGCAGATATGGTCCTGACCGAGTGAAGTTTAGAGAGTCGGCCTTACATCCAACTAATGCAGAGTGCGCCGTGGTCGTCACCGCGGTTTGAGCGGACGTTCGCGACTATCAACGGCTGTAGATGATGTTGGTTATTTTTGGCTATGGCGTGTGTTCTATTTGCTGGTATTATGCCGGGTACCAGCATGCGTGGTGTGGACTGTAATCATGTGGTACTTGCAGCAGCGCGAAAATCCGGGATGGCACTGCTGCAGGAACGGAATGCCGGTACGTGGGAACTTGCGATGCGGGCGACGGCTGTTGTAAACAATACCAAAACCACTGTACTACTTGACAGCTTAGGAAGAAAGTATCGAACCTGCCATAGGTGCACTCAATTTTCCGTCCACAATAATTATCAGGGTCTCCGGGTAAATCCTTCGAGATGTTGGCGAGGTACGGCCCGGGATAAGAGCGGCTAGAAGGACCTTAGCTTTTACCCAGTCAGATTTGACCTCGATATTAAAGCGATGTTGTGGAATAAGGCGTCCTGCCCCACGATCGCGCAGGGACGTCATTGCTAGCCCCCATGTAGATCGGTTCCCGCCCATGAACCGCTGTTCTGTGTACCTGCATGACGGCTACGGAGAAGGCCAGAATACGCGCAACCAAACCAGGTTCGCGGCATAATATTGATACAAGCTTACGCCAAGGTAGCGACAAGCACACCTTCTTTTTCATCGCGAGATTAAGGGGTCACACCAACGAGCATTCGGTACGGCGCGTCCAGCGGTCCGCAAGTCTGGAAGGACATATCCTTAGCGTTTCTCTAGGCACAACGAGATGTGCCCCCACCTTGGCATGTGAAGAATGGTTATTGGTCCGGTCGGATAGAAGTAAGCATCTGGGTGACCAACTAGTCGCAAGGTATTCTGAAGGTCCTGCGTTGCTCCAGAATTGCGATCGAAAGCTTGCTATTTTCAGGGTCTCTACGAGGCCCTCGATTATACGTTCTAACGCCCTCTTGCATGTGGATTCGCACTCGTTGAAACTGTCCAAACTTTTCCATTGAAGACATACCGTTCACCACCATGCGGTTTCCTCCCTCGGGCGAGATTTTGCTATCACTGCTTTATGCCAACTCTGTTCTTGCCCAAATTCAATTGTACAATTTCACTACCGCATCCACCAACCTCTCTTCAACATGCGTCGCCGTCTTGAACCAAGTGCAAAACTGTGATCCGTCACTTGAGTGGGCGGGTCGGGGAAGATACGAAGCGGACGACATACTGCAAACCCTGTGCACGGCGGCTTGCACGGCATCACTGTCAACATGGTTGAAAAGAGCACTCGGCGCATGCACAACGCGATACGTTGACACCCAAGGCAATGCTATGCTTCCCGGTATCTGGGTAGAGTCCATTCTCGAGAATTACAGTTTACTATGCCAGAAAAACGGGTGAGATGAAGATATACAAAGTTACAGGAACATTGAGAGCTGACAACTTCAGTGACAAGTTTTGTAACGCCGTTGTTCGAGATGCAGCTGGAGTGAACCCTGAGAATCAATCGCAGACCAAATCGGCAGGTACGTAGTTCAGCAAAGCGTGTTGAGCGAAGCTCACGATGACTACAGTTGCAACCATTAAATGCGATGATTGCTTCTTGAAACAGATGCAAACACGCCTGCAGATGCCGCTTCTATCAAACTCCGACATGGCAAAGACTTTCACGTCTTTGACTTCGGCTTGCAAGAAGACTGGCTTTGCTGTCACACCTATTGCTGCCTCAACCGCATGGGTTACATCGTGAGTACCTGCCGAGCCACCACGACCAAGCTAACATTGAACAGCACAACAGCTTCAGGCGCCACGCCAACGCCAACCGGATGTACAGGCACAATGTATACGATTCGCAGTGGAGACACGTGTCAATCGGTCGCTGCTGCCCGCGGCATAAGTGTAGCTGGTCTTCTCACCGCCAACGGCCTTCAAGGCTTTTGCGCGAATTTCCCGACCTCAGGGGCACTTTGCATACCCACTAGTGGAAGGTGCAAGACATACACCGTGAAGACCGGCGACACATGTGCCAAGATCGCTGATGCAAACAAGAAGGCATGGGTGCAAATAGTCTCTTGGAATCCGGTCCTTGGTAAGGATTGCGGAAACTTGGGAAGCTACATTGGGTATCCGATATGTGTATCTACTCCCGGTGGAGACTGGGTCAATCCGAGCCCGGTACCCAGTACTTCGGAGGCGACCACACCGTAAGTCATCCACAGAAACTGTATTCGCTTTTCTAAGAGTGATGAAGACGTGGCTCTAACAATGTGTAGTCTCTCAAGTATGCCAGGTACTGCTGTCAGTCTACTCCCTCGTCCTACCAACACGGGCTTCATCAATGGTAGCGATGAATGGCACTACCAATACGGGAACGGAACTCGCCTTGACTGTATCACCTATGTCAATGGCTCTGACTTTGGTTCGAGTGCTTCATGCGCAGATGTCGCCAAAGATGCTGGCGTCAATGCTACAGATATCGCTGAATGGAATCAGTTGGAAGATCCTTGCACGTTGGATGGGAAACTTACGTACTGCGTACAGCGAGTGAAACAAGATTTCACATCGGACGTGACCGAATACTGCAACCTTGAAGACACAGCTACCTATGGGATGACGTGTCAGCAGTTCGTTGCCTTGTGGGCGATCGATTCAATGAGGTTGAACGATTGGAACCCAGGAGTTGGGCCCGATTGCGAGAATTGGATGCCAGGTGAGTCACCAGTATATTGTATCTGCGAAACCATGTGATATTAATATCCTAAAGGACGCACCTATTGCGTAATGGCGCGCCACTTTCGCCAACCAGGTATTCTTGCAGCTTGTAGCAAGTTTGCCACAGCAAATGAGACTGGCCGTACGTGTATCATATCCTGCTATACCATTTACTCAATTACTCATGCTATCAGGGCTCTCCGATCCATGCGGTCTCATCGAACAGCCCAACGGCATTGCACATGCACGCTTCGTTGCCTGGAACCCTGCGGCGATGAACAACTGTACGTTGATAACATACCACACACTGTCGGGATCGTCGTTCTAACACAATATCAGGTAGTGGTATCCGATATGGCTATGACTATTGCGTGAGTACGATTGGCTTCAAGCCAACATACACATCGTACGTGGCACCGTGGGGCGCCACGATGGTGCCTTCTGCGAATGCGATGGGAATGGTGGCCAACATGCTCGATGAGACTACGACTCCTGGCAGTTCATCATCTGGGCATATCTCGGTCAGTGTGAGTGTCACTTCAGCGTCGAACGAGGCTACGTCTTCTGCGACTGTGCAGCCACACTTTCACAGGCATAAAAGGGTACACGGGCATTTGTAATCACGCTCTGAATCTTCTTGCAAGTGTCTGTCTATCCATCGATCAGTTACATCGAAGCTGCACTGTTCCTTGTAGTTATCCATACTACAATCATGTTGGATTAACCAACCAAGAGTGTATGAGTCTCCATTCAGGCTCTCTATTCGGCGAAATATGAAACTATCATATCCAATCCGCACGCCGGAACACATAATATATGACAAACGCGACAAATCTTTCGGTGAAGTTCCTCCTCTTGCATGTATCATCATGTACTTCCTTACTGCCCATCGCAAGTCATGACAGCATCCTAACAAGGCGGCTATTGAAATCGGATCGTCAGCACTAATCGGGAGAATATTCAAACCAGAGGAACTTACCAGCCCACCGCAAGGGCTACAAGATTCAAAGTCTGATGGCGCGATACAAGTAAGCTTTCGACATTCTCCATTTACAATGCAGTTTGCTTCAGTCTCGCGTGATGGAAAATCTCGTAGGACCTTATTTGGTCCTTCCTCGATTGTGCCGCTAGGCGTTGCAATTGTGAGTCCTATAAATATAGTAGAGAGAAATATTGAGAGTTGCATAACGAAAGCTTGTAGTAAAGCTCGGTCTTGGGTGGTTGAACCGTCCGACTAAAGGTTGTTGCAGATTCGTGAGAGCAAAGGAGGCTCCTCTGATGCTGTATATATATGTGTGTCCCAGAACCGAGATTGTAGATCAACTTCGACATGACTATCAGGTCAGATTCTCCTGTGACTACGTAATCTCTGATCACTAGGGCTTAGAGTAAGACTGACAGCTTTCGCTACGATAATCGGTATATCAAGGTCTTGGGAACCGGAAACCGGGGTATGCTGAACAGTCTGGCTGCAAGTGATACGACCTCGGGACCTAGCCGGCGCTACTCTACGGGAGTGGGCCTGGTGCTTATGTGAGCGCTAGTAGTCCCTTAAAACACGAAGCATTGATCAGACAACACGTGGGGAAAGCATTCTTATAGCCTAGTCTATGAAACACTTTTTTTTTTTGCTGTTCTTGGTGGGCCCATTGCGTCTCCCTCCTGTCGACGTTATTGTCCACTTCATCGCATCCTATGGACTGTCAACCATGTTAAATATGATGCGCGCATCCAAAACCAGCTAGTTATGAATTTACCTACCACGCGCGAGACTTGATGCAGGTTGCGCGAAAGCGCGCAGCTCCATCCATTGGAGTCGTCTGCGGCTCTTCCGAGGCTGCAATGTGTCACATGCCAACCCGCAAAAGTTTCAAAACTGTCAAAGCCTCCAAAAAGTGTATAACACAACACAGAATGCTTTCGTGGATGTAATTTGTTAGTCTTCGTATCCATGAAAGTGGGATCGGTAGTTGGCAGAACTTTTAGTTTGGATGCTAGGTATGGAGATGATCATAGGGTGCTTTTCCCGCTCAGTACGAGAAGGCTTGTCTATTTGCGGGGAACAGGACTCTGTTTTCTTTCATCCCATTCAAACTCTCTCGTCAGAGTGATCCCTCTTTCTCTTCTATCATTTGGAGGCGACTCGCTTATCCGGACTTCGCTCGATGCCTTGCGTCCTGCATTAGGACATTCTCCATGCACATGGGTTGTTGTTAGACCTATCTCATCTTCATCTAACCGAGATCTACCCCATGGCTCATGATCTTTATTCGATCTCATCCATGACTTTCTGTCGGTTCGAATCTCCGTTTGAGTGACTGTGGTGCCCTCCAACGTATCGTTGACCTTTATCTTCCGCGTGCGCTTTTTGGAAATCGTTTCGAGTGGATCTAGCGAGTGCGCAGGAGATTCCATGTGGTGCGAACCTTTGAGCGTGGATGGCAGGCTCCTAGAGAGCACATCCGTGACTTGCAGAAGCAGCGGACGAAGGGTGGGCAGGCAACCGGAGATGATGCCGACCGAGGGTTCTACGGAAGACCAGATGAACACGTCACTCTTCGCCCAGCTAATGTCTGTTGTATTAACGAGGTGGACAATAGTGATGATGCGGTATAGAGACGCAAAACAGACACTGGATAAGTCAGTGATTGTTCATTGCATAAGCTTGCTATGGTCCAGGACTTACAAACTGCCGAGTAAAAACGTGAGGATCACTGCGACCTTTTGCGATCGTCCCATGTTCAGCTTGAGCACGCTTTGTACAGGTATCGTGAGGATACATATATCGCCGAAAAGATTGATAATACCGATACCAAGATAGAACTGGAGTCTCGTCAGTTGCGAACGGCGATTTTGGTTTGAGGAGAGCCCACCTTTGCCTCGTTCACCAGTACCACGCCTTCACCACCATACCACTGATTCCAGTAGTAGTGTAGTGGTCGTGTATACAGTGGTAAGACGACGTGGTTAGTGATTAGATAACCGGCAGTGAGAACGACGCAAAACCAGCCAAGCCATGTCATCCCAAAAATTCGACGATATAAAGCCAGAATTGAGAATTTGATAACACACAAACTCCATGTGTAGATGTACACATACGCGAAAGTGATCTAGCCGCTGTCAGCACTGATATACTGTCGTGCTACGGGAAGTAACAACGCACTATTGTGATTTGTCGCATTTCATACGGCCCCAAAGACCATATGTGCTTTCCGAGACCGAAGAAGCCCCCTGATCTTGATGTCAGCAGATGTCGCAAATTTTCATGATCAAGTACCCTACCTGCGATGCAGCAAGCCAAGTTGCCAGCATTCAAAGCCAACCCAAGAAACATTAGATAGTCGTCCAGTCCCAGTACCTCACGTTTAAGACGCAGGCGAGTGAGGAGACGCAACGCGACGAAAACGAACGAAAGAACAAAAAGCACAATGCCGATAGCATTGTTGGAAGTAGTGCGTGACTCCGACAAGTCAATACCAGGCGGCGGGTTAGCAAAGTAGTCAAATGCCATGTTTACAGGCTGGTTGCGTTGGGGTAGAACAGGACGAAGTGACAAACGTCAAAACTGTGCAACGGGCTTCGAGCCTTCAACACTGATTATCGAACCACATACTCAATACACCGAACGCATCAGTGCAGCACGATATCGAGCAGGGTAGGGCACCGAGTCACAGAAAGCACTTGGCAGCGGATATTTCCCGAAGTCGGTACGATTGAGAGGCCAATCGGTATAGTTTCCTGTGGGACGTGAGTGTTGTGCAGCCAAAGAAAAAGAGTCCTCGCAAAAATCTGTAGCTAGCTTAGGCGGAGACGCCGTTTGCATTAACTACATATATTCAGGGTCAAAACGCTCCGAAGGGACGTGTGGTGTGACGGGCCAGGTACTTGCTGCATATCGTCCTATCACAAGTAATGACAGTGTGGGGTCCCTCGTATGGGAGTGCGGAAAGGATGAGGAAACCCCGGATCGGGCCTACCAAAGCCACTCGGGCCTTTTTAGCTACGCGGGAGATAACGACGTGCCGCAACCTTTTCCGGTAGTAGATCGTCTTAGTGGGCACCATAACCCGTGAAATCTGGGCCACACCAGCTCTCCTCTCCACGTTCTCTACACCTTGCTTGTCTTGACTCAACCAATTGCCATCTTCGACATCAGATTCCAACAACATGGCGCCTAAAGAAACCAAGTTCAAGGTGGCTGCGGCTCACGCTGCACCTGTTTTTATGGACAAGGCGGGCACTATCAAGAAGACTGTTCGGCTCATCGAGCAAGCGGCGAAAGACGACATCAAGCTCCTGGTGTTTCCTGAAACCTTCATCCCCGGCTACCCCGTACGTGTCCCCGCTCTCAACGTCAAGGTTAAAAGTGATCCTAATCGTTACCACAGTGGTGGACTGAGTGCTACCCACCCCTCAAGCAGGTTACTGCTTTGGCCAAGTACGCTGAGGAGAGCGTAGTTGTGGAGCCAAATGGGGAAGACGTCAGCGCCATTCAAGATGCGTGTCGCCGTACCGGTGTAGCGATCAATCTCGGAATCTCGGAGCGTATCGCAAACGGTCATACACTATTCAACTCGCAGGTCATCATCGATAGCGACGGCACTATCCTCGGCGTTCATCGGAAGCTCCAGCCAACTTTCGTCGAGCGCATGGTGTGGGCTCAGGGCAACGGAAGCACACTGCGCAACTGGCCACTTTCCTTGGGCTACAACCTTGGAGGTCTGGCCTGCTGGGAGCATACTATGAACGGCGCACGCCAGGCACTCATCACCCAGAACCAACACATCCATGCTGGAGCTTGGCCAGCCTTGTCAGCGATGGCCGGTTTCGAGGATGTCGCCAATGCGCAAATCGAAGCGCTGATGAAGACACATGCTTTAACTGCCCAAGTCTTTGTTATCGCAGTTTCTGACTATGTCGACCAACAGTGCCTCGACTGGATGGAGACTAATCTTGGAAAGCAGGATCTCGTCAAGCTTGGTGGCGGTTGGTCTTCAGTCATCCATCCGTTCTGCTCGTTTATCGCTGGTCCGCACACCGGTGGAGAGGAGAAGTTGGTACAGGGCGAGATTGACTTCTCACACATGGGGTCTGTAAAGGTATGGATTGATGCAGCGGGCCATTATCAACGCCCGGAGATTCTACAGTTCGGATTCGACCAGCGTCCACACTGGGCGGACGAGAAGACCGATCGCTTCAAGGTGCGCACTGAGGAAAGAAAACCGGAGAGTAAGATTGAGTACCCCGCACCTTCGGAGGCTTAGTGGCTGCAGATGTTTTTTTGTCAGATAGAGAATGCATGAGTTGGCAATTGTATCCTTGGAGTGGCGTCTTGTGTTACCCGTTACTCATTGGACATCATGGAGGCTTAGCGGCTCAGCCTCGTCGCACCTGCATCACTGCCAATGTACTTCTCAGCAGGGTAAAACAGAGCTTTTCCTTTCCGACATTCTCACATCTGTAGATCTTCATTCTGTCTGATTTCAGTATGCCAGTCACTTTCGGTGCTGTAGGCGACATCATTTCGGTCGTTTTACTCGTGAAAAATCTAGTAGCAACGCTCGACGAGGCTCGTGGCTCCAAGGCTGAGTACCAGGCTGCCATACATGAACTTTGGCTCCTTGACCGCACTCTGCTTGAAATCGAACTGCTCACTAGAGAGCATGCAGACGGCGCTACGCCAGAGTTACGAGGCCTATGCGGGACAGCCAAGCGAGCCGTTGCTAGGTGCCACGACCAGGTCACGACCTTTTTGCAGCGCATTCGAAAATATCAGAGTACTTTCGACTACGGCCAGAATCCGAATGCGCTCAAGGAGATAGGGCATGCGATTCGTTGGAGAATTGGGGAGAAGGAAGCACTCGAGCGTTTTCGAGCAGAGCTAGCAGGGACTACATCGAGCCTTCAAATGCTTATGGTGACGGCTAATACGTGAGTGGCAGAGTCATGGTGGGTAGATCCAATGTTGATATCTTACAGCACACTACTCCAGGTAAACCGAAAAGAGATGAAACACGACCTGGACGATGTGATGCGCAGGAGCGACAATGCTACTCTTTCGCATGACGCATCCCTTAGCGCCATCAAAGACGGACTCGAGAACGCTAATCGCAATATCGAAGCTGGAAACTCCATTCTTGAAAATCTATCGGAAGCGATCAAGCTTGGGTGGCTTCGGAACCTTGGTTGTGAACTCATAGGATTGATGCGAAGTGCGATGATGGTCAACTTTGCGACGTACCGTGCGGTCATTCAGATACAAAATGCTCTTCCTAGTCACTTGGACCGAGGACTCATCGAAGAACCTATGATCTTGGAAGATCCCATCGGTCGCATTACTCCTGTACATCTACAATTTATTACTTCCTGGGATGCATTCCACTCCGTACTCGAGACGCGGTTCCAGAACATTCCAGGGCATAGTACAATGAAGCAGCGAAGTTATGGGTTGCAAGCCGGGGGCACAGGAAGAGAAATTGAGTTGTCGCGTCCATGGCAACATGCTTTCCTACCTGGTCAGCGAGTTGAGATGAGTTTCATTTTTGACGACTGGAGCTATGGAGATACATGTCCCGCATGCTCTGCTCCTTCAGAACAATGTTTTGGAGCGGATAGACGCTGTCCGATTTGTGGGATATCGTTCCGGAGGATTCAGGAAGCTCAAGATATCAGCAGTCCTAGACAACTCATAACTCAGCAACAAAAGATTTGGTTGGCCAGCGGGAAAAGTCTGGATGGATATGATATGACTTGCTTCAAACGCGTGAGACTCGTACATAAACCGGCAGCGATTGTGATCGTTGGCAAGAACGAGTTGATAAGATGGGACAAGGAGCTAAAGAAGTATCGATTAGCACGAGTCAAATGATTACCCACCCGAATACCTAGACCTAGAAATGAACGGAGTACAGTAATAGAAGACGATACACTCTTCATCGATATCGAATTGTCAGTAATGCAGCGTGCATTGAGTGATTCCCTGAAGCTATTGGATCGTTCCTTGACCAACGGCACGTACCCCCGGAAGGTAGCTCCAAATGCGTCCCACTTATACCCAGGGTCTACTTCAAGACTACCGACAGTCTCACCTACATACACCACTTCTTCTCCTGCACAGCCTTGCACCCGTCCTTGCCGAGATACCAATCATCACAGAGCGTATTACATTCAACCCCCGGCTTCACGAATACCCTCCCTTCCTGGCTCGGATCGCCGCTCGGCGTGCCATACCATGGCAGACGCCATTGCACCTCCATGTTGTTGGCCTCATACCCAGTCGCACCTATCCGGATGTGTCAGCGTTACATGCCGATAGCAAATAGAGAATAACTGAAGGTTTCGCTGGATAGAGCGAGACGTACGATAACCGTGGCGGCAAGCGCAGTAGTATGGGCCAGGTGTATGTGGGTTGTCGTGGCCCCAAACATACGTGCAGGACGTAGTGATGTCGCACTTGTTTTCATTGGGTGTATAGACGCATGTCTCACAAATGGGTTCGTATGGCGGAGACAAGGCAGCGGTAAGGGTGAGAAGAGAGGAAATTGCTGTGATAGTGAAGACCTTCATGATGATAGGTTGAGCTTTGGGAAGAAGTATAGATGCAGTTGCTATTACACTGTAGATAATGATGCGGATAGGCGACAGTGAACACATGAAGACTTCTTCTTTATACTTCAAGTTTGCCATCTCAGCTGCGCGGCTTCGACTTCAGCATCATGCTCCGCTTATGCGGCTGCATCGATACCAAGAATCTATATACAGCATACATACAGAGTTCAAGAGCCTGCTCCTCCTGATTTGTCGGCCAGTACGATGGCCAAACGTCAAGCTGAACTATAGTGATTCTACAAGACCTCTTGATCTCGTACTGCCAGACAGTCGTGAATGAGGTGGTGAGCACACTTCGATTTGCCAGACCCTACGATGCCACTAGAAGCCAACTAGTGAAAAACCACCGAGAAGTAAATTTAGCAAGACTTGTCGAGTTAACAATCTCGTGATGATGATTTACTTAGTCATGAGACCTCGTGTTGCTTCCCCGCATTCTTCAGCTTGCTGATGAAGCTGGGGAAACACGAAAGTTAGTAGCTTGGGAACAAAGCATGATCGAACCAGACAGATTATTCGAATGTGCGCGAATGCGAAGAGCTCGAAATAGTAAATGTGTTGCTAGATTGCATAACCAGGATAGCTGGTGTTATCGAACTCCAAGACGCCATACCGGACCAAAAAAGACATGCGAAGATGGATCGTCGTATCATCATCTCTTTCCCTTCTTGAGTACCAAGCCTTTCCAGCCCTTACTATCCTTGATCCGCCTAAGCGCTTTGCTTGCAACCGGATCCTTAGCCAGATCGTCCAAGCAAGCCTTCTTCTCCTCCTCGCTTTCGTGCTCGTGGAACTCGCACCACTCCTTCTCCATCTTTGGTCGCTCGCCCCTCGCTAACATTGTTACCAACTCGAACAAGAAAGCTTGCGGAAGCTGACTCCGCAGGGCTATCGTGCGCTCGTCATCGCGGTCGGGGTTCCAGTACACGGAGTACATATCGAGGAAGTATCGGCAGAGCGCTGCGTCTGGTGGTAGGCTCTCGTAGGCGGCGATGACGTTGCTGTGATCGGGCATTACTTGTAGGATCTCGTCGTTCGTTTGCCATGCTAGCAGTACTGCGCGGCGTAACTTCGGGATGGCATAGCGATGTGCAAAGACGTAGAGCGATATGAATCGGCGCTCTAGGAAACCTTCCAACCCCCTCCACTTGTATGGTCTTGAGCAGCATGGGCATAGTGTCTCTTTTGGTATCTCCGGCTTCTCGGCAGGGTTTCGTGGAGGTGGTACTACGGTAACCTTTTCAGGTTCAGCATCACCAGGCACTTTCTCCGCACTAGGTGCAGGGCTCGCTGCGGGTTCGGCGTTGGCGGGTGAGGTGTCTGACGCTGCATCGTCGGTCTCTAGGGCGATACCCCACGAGGCAGTGTCCACATCGTCGCTCTCGTTTTGTTCAGTAGTGCTCGCGCTGTCGCCCCCGTTCACGTTGACGGCATGGGTTGGCGGGTGCACTTCTTTACCACCTTCGATTAAATGGTGTGGTATGAAGCCGGTATATAGCCATAGCATAAAGGCATCGAACACGTCAGGGCTGGTGTCGTCGAGTTCAAGAGTGGTACCCGATTTCTCGTACGGTGAATCGCTCTTCTCCTCTAAGCACGTGTTGAAGTATGGCGAGCATCGTCGCAGTAGTTCGCGATGGCAGCTGAACGACTCGGGGTAGTCCTTTCCACCAACTTTTACGGTAATTATTGTCTGATCAAAATTTCTGCCTCTGGTTAGCGGTTCAGCTTGGCGAATCTGAAAGTGAAAGGGGTACTCACCTGAAAGTGTGGCCGAGTGTTGTCGCACCCTTGGAGTGCATGAAAGGCATTTTGAGTAGATAGTCAGGTTCCATTCATTGACGACCTACTGTGGATTATATCGCCATTATATCTCTATCGTTCTGGACGGGTAATACGGAGAGCCCAGTTTCAGCAACCGTGACAGATACATCTTGGCGTTCGACCTTGCAGCGGTTGAATGCTTGTGCGAGCTTCAATGTATGGTGAGAGGAGGCTTAAGCGGGGGAACGTAGAGCTTAATTGAAACTTGTAGGTACAAGAGAACGAGTGACAGCTGGGCTCATCTGGGCGATCTTGGAACAAAGTAGGGGTAATGTCAAGTCGTGCGGGAGAGCATGAGTTTGATAGCCGTTTCACGATGCTTGGCGGGGAAAGCATGCCTCAGCCGACGCCTGGGCTGTTCAAGATCTTCACAGCGGTGAAGCTCAGCTCAGGACCCCCATGCATGTTCCCTTGTGAAGGCATGAGTGATGCCGCGGGGTGGCGCTGGCGATGGAAGTGGATGAGATTGGAGTTCAGGAGGGTTGAAGCGTGGTTGGCGACGCGTGGAGGCGTCCCCGCGTCTAGACCCGTGCACATGTTGACCCCCTGCATCATCGTTCCGTCCGAGCCACGATGGATATCAACACCAAACCAATTTCATCAGCAACACGCATATCCTATAATTGGGTTGATCTCCGAGCATGTGCGGACGTCGATTCCAGATCCTGTCGCCCAGCGTACCCCGCGTCTGTACGATGTCAGCCCCCACTTCCAACACAGCTCTCAGTATTTAGTGGGAGCCATATCATGCCATTGCAATACGCTCCAGCTGTCTGTCAATCAATCTATGCTGCGATAATCGATGATGGCGTCCAAATTCGATACAGAGATCTACCCAGGCAATATCATCAATAATCAGCTCGTCCCAACTCCTGAAACGCGACATTCCATCAACCCAGCCACCAGCCAGCCACTTTACGAAGTGCCAGTAGCCAGGGAAGAAGATCTCGATACCGCTGTTACCGCAGCGCGCAAAGCATTCAAGTCATGGAGCTCAACGCCCTTCTCCGAGCGAGCAAGCTTGCTCCTCAAATACGCGGACACTATAGAGAGCCACCGCAATGATTTGGAACAACTCCTTACCAAGGAGCAAGGCAAGCCACTTTCGCTATCAAAAAGCGAGATGGGCATGACATTGACATGGCTACGTGCCTTCGCCACCATGGAGATCAAGGACGAGATTCTGCAAGAAGATGACGAGAAGATTATCTACTCAACCCATCCGCCAATCGGTGTATGCGCAGGTATCGTGCCTTGGAACTGGCCGATTCTGCTGGGGCTGGGCAAACTAGGTCCGGCGCTGATTACAGGAAATACCTTCATCATGAAGCCATCGCCATACACACCATATTGCGATCTCAAGCTCGGCGAGCTGGCGATGGAAGTCTTCCCACCAGGAGTTGTGCAGGTACTCAGTGGCGACTACCGACTAGGTCCGTGGATAACTGAACACCCTGGTATCAACAAGATCGCTTTCACAGGATCAATAGCAACAGGGAAACTAGTTGCAGCATCGTGTGCGAAGACGCTGAAGCGGTATGTCTTGGAGCTAGGTGGCAATGATGCGGCGATTGTGTGTGAAGATGTCGACATTGATAAATGCCTTCCGAAGATTGCAACGCTGAGCTTCCTCAACTCAGGCCAGATCTGCATGTTGACAAAGCGCATCTACATTCACGAGAAGATATACGATTCTTTCCGTGACAAGATGGTTGAGTTTACGAAGAACAACATCAAGACCGGCGCTGGCACGGAAGATGGCGTTGTCGTGGGACCTATACAGAACAAGATGCAGTAAGTACCATCTTCCCTTGCTCAATCAACTGCCGCTACACAGGATTTACCCTGTTCAGGTTCCACAAAGTCAAGAACATGTACGACCAAGTCACAACGCAGCAGTGGACTACCGCCCTAGCAGGCACTGTGACCTCGTCCCCCAACGGCTACTTTATCACCCCCGCCATCATTGACAACCCACCTGAAGACTCTCGTATCGTCCAAGAAGAGCCTTTTGGCCCTATCGTCCCCTTACTCAAATGGAGCGATGAAGATGACGTTATCGACCGGGCGAATGCGCTGAAAACGGGACTGGGAGCATCAGTCTGGAGTAAAGACCTTGCGCGCGCAGAGAGGATGGCAAGGAGACTAGAAGCAGGTAGTGTCTGGGTGAATTCGCATTTCGATGTTGATGCCAGAGTACCGTTTGGCGGGTGGAAAGAAAGTGGCGTTGGGATGGAGTGGGGAATGGAAGGCTTGAAGAGTTACACCAACAGCCGGAGTTTGTGGGTCTGGAAGAAGGTTTTTGAGTAAACTGGTGAGTACGCTGTTGGGGCAGCAGATGAGAAAGTACAAAGCAAAGATGATGAGCTAATCAGTGAGAAGTTGTCGGTATCAACTTTCGCGACATCTCGCCACCGAGATGGCCGAGCGAGATTACCTTGTGCCACCTCAGTACTACTCTTGAGTATACTCTTGGAGCTCATGTGCTTGAAACAGTGTGGAAATAAAACGGATGTTGTGCACGACTGGTGGGGGAAATATTTTCCGATGCATGTTGTGTCGAATCACAGCTGACCTCTTCTACCGCCAATGCCGACTTGGCGTAATCCGGCTCTTATTTAGCAACACTAGAGGTATTGGCACTCGAACGCTTTACAGACTCGCCTCATTACAAGCTTACTTGGTACTTCCTTTTTGTTAGCTCTTCTGGGGTAGAAGTGCGGTAGCTTGTTTCGACCAGATTAAACACGGAAGGCGCTCGACATAGTGTCGCTAGCCATTTCGCTGGCACATACGGTAGTCATGTTCTCCGCACGACCCGAGAACACCATGTCTATCCATATGTTTCATAGCAGCCGGCGGTACTGACAGGTTAGGTCAAGTCTGACGTGAACACGAGATGCGCAGGACATAGCCAAGCAGTGCTTCTGGTAGGTAATCTAACCTTAAACCGGAGGAAAGTTAATTCCTCCGCAAGTCCCGGATGTGTGCACATGGCAATGTAAATTCCCCATAAAGGAAGCGTGGGCTGCACTGTTCGGTGCGCACAGCAGATTCATTTCGATTCCACTCTGTATTCGACATGCTTTCTTCGTTGAAATACCTCCTTGGAGGCGCGTTAGCCATCTTATCCATAACTCCGAACGTCAATGGACAGACCTATCCCGGCCCGGGTGCGGTCTCAGGCAGCACTTTTGCCCATGACCCAACGGTAGTCAAGACGCCGAACGGCCAGTATCTCATGGCCTATACAGCACCTGGCATCGCCCTCAAGACATCCTCTGACCGCACTGTCTGGCGCGACGCCGGTCTCGCCTTTACCAATGCCAACGCCCCATGGACGCAACCATACACAGGCGCCACCAACGAGAATCTCTGGGCCCCAGACCTCTCGTACCACAACGGCAAGTACTACTTATACTACTCTGCCTCGACCTTTGGCTCGCGCAAATCCGCAATCTTCCTGGCTACCAGCACCACGGGCGCAGCAGGCTCATGGACGAACCTCGGTGTCGTCATTGAAACGAACGCGAACAGCGCCTACAACGCCATCGACCCCAACCTGATTGTCGACGCTTCCGGAAAGTGGTGGTTGTCTTTTGGTTCCTTTGGAAACGGGCTCAAGTTGATTTCCATCAACCCGAGCACCGGCATGCGCTCAGGCACCAGCATGGTTGACATTGCTAGCCGTGGAAGCGGCGGTGCCATTGAGGCACCCGTCATTGTGAGGAACGGCAACTACTACTATCTTTGGGTCTCGTTCGATAGGTGCTGCCAGGCTGCTGCTAGTACCTACAACATCAGGGTCGGCCGATCGACTAACGTTCAGGGCCCGTACGTTGACCGCAACGGCGTCAACATGATGTCGGGTGGCGGTACTGTGGTCTTGGCATCTCATGGCACTATTCGTGGACCCGGTCACAACACTGTCTTCAAGGACAACGATGCCGATGTGCTTGTCTACCACTACTATAGGCAGTCTGATGGCCAGGCACAGCTGGGAATTAACCTTCTCCGCTACGACAACGGTTGGCCCGTTGCTTATTAAGTAAGGAACGCGTCGCAGGCTGTGCATTGTTATCTAACGCTCGGCCCTGCGTTTCAATGAACCTGCTGAGCTCTTGAAGACACAGGCGGGGGCGATGACTTTCTCTCCAAATATTCTTACCATTGTACATAGCTTTTGGAATCGTACATATTCATACTTCCGGTGTAAGCTGCGGTATTCACCAAATTAGTCAGTGATGTCTTGAGATGGAGGTTCTTGAGTAGCTTGGATTTGCGCTGTTGAAGCTATGAGCCAGAGGTGTGTGGTGGACGCGATGTTAACTCGCAAGTCAAGCCTTGCCGCCCCATTCTCTCCACCACTCGTACAGTGCGATACCACCTGCAGTTTGAACATCTGTTGGATATATTAGCACGTAGTCCAGAGGTAGGCCAAAGGCTTTCGAAACATGCCCACTTACTCAAACTCCTAGTAACTCCCACAGTCTTGATCTCGACATTACGATCAATAACAGCAAGCACTTCCGCCGAGATCCCTTCCTTCTCACTGCCGAGCACTAGACAACACTTCTTCGGCAGCGTACCAATATCCTGACTCCTGATCTCCCTCTTGATGTACTCCATATTCCCTTCATGGTCACTCACCACATGACTTTCACCACCCTCAGTCCCCAATATCCCACTTCGATCCGTCTGTTCAATACCAACAACCTCATACCCCTTACTCTTTGCATCTAGCAGGAACGCCGGTACCCCAACCTCTTTCAACTCCTTGATAGACAAATGCTTCTCCGAGCGCACACTAGTAGCTTTGAAGTCTTTGTGCGCGACTTTCTTGAGGTCATCAATGTAGAGACTCTCGAGGCCAAACGACTCTGAGATACGGGACAGACCACCAAGATTGGTAGGGTTGTCTATCAAGGACGCTATGAGCATGACAGATGCAGGACGTTGGTTTTGGGCGGCAGGTGGCCCGCTAGGTGGGTGGAGGTTGTCGAGATCGATGCCAGCTTTGGTTTGGAGGGTTATTTGGCCGCTTGGTTCAGGTTCGGAGGCAGCCAGGGTTACTGCTGGTGGTGCGACAATATCGAAGCTAGTTCTGGTCTGTTGTCCGAGTTGTATGTGTGCCGAAGGTCGGTTCGCATGGCTTGACTGATGCTCATGCTCAAGCACCTCGAAGTCTTCGCGCGTGACGACCTCCTGTTCCGGTGTCTCGATCGACAAGTACCGTCCCTGGAAGATGCCTGCAAGGGTAAAGTCTTGTTCAATGTCGACCTTCAGTGTTCTTATTGTCCATGGAGAAGCATTAAACTTGTCCAGTCGCCGGATGAAAGCATTCATCCCCGCGAACGCAGTATTCTCGACAACGTCTTTCCAGCCCTTGGTGATGGCTAATTCGAAAACCAAGGGGAAAGCAAAATTCGCTTCGTGACGAATCTGGACCTTGGGGCTAGCGGAGTACGCATTCAGTTCAGTAATGAGCTTAACAGCAAAGTCCTGTGACTCGTATGGAGCAACGAGGAGACCCAGTTTGATTAGACTGGCGATATGAATAGGGCTGTACTCTTCCAGGTCTCCAAGCTCTTTGACAATTCGAAGAGACTTGCCTGGGAATTGACGGTAGATGCGTGCGATGGTCCATTCGAGCAGGTAGCGGTACCTTGGCCATGATTCTAGCGTCAAGGCGTGTGTAAAACCGTCGAGATAAGCGTCTACGTCGGATTCCATCACACAGTAGTGGCTCATCAACAGCATCGACTGTAGCTGGAATGTCCTCTTCCATGGGCTCTTGACAGCGACTGGTGGTTTCTGATCCTTCCAAGGCTGTAGTAGCTGATCGAATATCCTTCGGGCAGTACTTGTTTGCTCTTTTGGGAAACTTCGCAGAAGGTCTATAACAGCCGCGTATGCGTGCCATTCTCGCATACCATAATATGAGGCATACGTTCGATGCGGTAAGTATCGTTGAAGTTTGTCGGCAGCGGCCACTTCGAACAAAAACTCCGGTCTGATCGATGCCGGGTCGTTGACAAAGTCAAGAATGTAGTTTTCAAAGGGAAGTATGGATATGATGGACGGATTTGTGAACGCAGCTTTGCGCAGTGTTTGAGCCAGCACTGCTAGAACGTATGACCTTCCCTTGGAAAGCTTCGTGAGACGCAGCATGGCTTTAGAGAGGAGTGAAGTGAGGTCTGACTCCAAGCCGCCGTCTTCTTGACTATTCCTGGCACAAACATTGATACATGTCGGGTGAAACAGCAACGGTGGTAGATGTACAGCGAATGGTCGGATGAAGTCGCGGATTTCCGCCTCTTCCCAAAGTGCTGCTAATATAGTATGTAGATCGTTAGGGTCGACGTTGGTTACGTCCGTCCGGTCAAGCAGCTCAATCATGGCCTTGCAAGCTGGTGCAAAGGCTGGACCTTGTATGCAGCTATGTTTCGAGTCGTGGAGATCGCTCAAGAAAGACTCAAAAGTGGGTATACCGCCATTATTTTCGGTGATAGATGCTGGTAATGTAGACTGATCTACTGGGTTTTCTAGCTTCTGGCACTTGGCGCGTAAACTTTCATTGGTGGGTATATCCGTCGAATCTAGATCAGGGTCAAGAAGGAGGCAGAGCTTTCGGCAGTGGATACTGTGCAAGTCACTTGCTACCTCAGGCATGCCAGGCAGTCGCGACAGATTTAATATCTCTGTGATCTCTGAGATTTCCAGCTTGTGGTGTGAAGTCCTTCGTTCGCACCTCACCTTTAGGCCTTCAATGAGACCATGTAGCAAGTACAATATTGCCGGTTGGAACATCTTACCACCAGCATTGAAGATATAGCGAACAACGCCGAGGACAATTGCCCGACCATTACGGTTGTCGATGCCAGCCTCGGTAACGTTGTAGTTGACTGAAGGGACGAAGGATGGGCTATCTTCTGTGTCGGATACGAAGTGGGAAATGACAGCGGCGAGCCTCTCTCCGTGAGCGCACTCTGTCGATGATCGTGTGGTAGTAAGCGTTGACGTGAAGAGGCCCCCATCCATTGCCCAAGGCAGAAATCCATCGAATAGAAAGTTGATATGACCGTTCAAGTCACCACGGCGCTGTGGAGCGAAGATCAGCACGAATCAAACTGTACAACAGCAGGGACACCTTATTTTGACTGTACTCCGTGCATAGTCGATATGTTGTTGTACAGCCGACACAGCTTTGCCGAGTGGTATCAACCACCGAGAAGATGAGAAATGTTACTTACCTTGATGACAAAATCCATGTACCAACCACCAATCATCTTTCTGACGCTCTCTTGAATCAGTGGATTCAAAGCTGCAGTGAGCAGCGTTGTTGCCATTGCAGGAGTGACCCTGGAAACACCTGTTGCCGAAGAAGATCCAAGAAGGTTTGTCATGGATTTCAAGCAATCCTCGACTTGTCCAGAATACCGATGTAGCACGATCGTCTCAAACAGTGTCGAGTACAGATCGTACTGCTCACGGTCTTCTTTGCTAGCATAGTATCGCATCGTTGGTGTATCGATGGGACTAGATGTAGCGAGGAAAGATTGTCGAATGATTCCAAGACAGTACTTGCGCTGGTCAGCATGTCCCTTTACAAGACCCAATCTAAGCTTTCTCCAGTACTCCTCGTCGCTTACGCAGTCCAACTTGATGCCACCAGAAACGGCAAGGGAGATCCATTGGAACCAAGTCCGATAGATCTTGCTAGAGCGAGCGGCGAAACATGCCATGTCGAGAGCGTTAAGTCGGTCCCATATTGACTGATCCACAATGTCGTCGAGATGGGCGAGCGAGTCATCCTTCTTGCTCTTTAGCAGCGAAAAGAAAGCGGATAACGTATCATGCGCTGTGTCATCGAGCCTGTCGATGCCGATGAAATTTGAAAGAAGAGGGAGAGTCCAAGGGTCGACCATGTGTGCATACGCGGCTGGTATCCAGAAGGAGCACTTGAGAAATTCAAGGTAAGCCTTCGCACAATGGAGACTATCCGGATGCGGTTCGCTAGATGAGAGATCTTCAACCAGAGTAGAAAGTCTGTGGTTGAGCTTGGAGCTGAGGAGCGAAGCGGCAAATGATCCGTGGCTATGGCATATCTCAGCAATCTCGTATAGATTCTGGGATGCCTGTTCGTCGACTAGACAGTCTAAGACGGTATCCCATAGTTCTCCATGCTGCGAAGTGTCGGCCCCTTCTTGATCAGCGCTTTCGGAGGGCAGCAGTCGCACGCAAATATCGAGTGCATTGATGTCGACACCGGGCGCGGCTTTTAATTTGGCCAGACTGCCTTCAAACGCTGTTTTCCTGGTTTGCTCGTCCAAGAGACTGAGCACCGCAGCCGTAGCCATGGCTGGTAGGCCTGATAGGCTTGAACTTTATGAAAATGAGCAAAGCTTTGCTGGTGCGGTTCAGGACGGGTGTGGTGTTGCTAAATGCATTGTTAGAGTTCACGTTGTAGGGTCGACACCAGTCACATTTTGCGCCCGCTTCAGATGAAAAATTTAGTCGCTACCTAGGGACGGCCATGCGCAACTGGCCGGAGCAACATTCTTGACAACACGATCCCAACAACACATGGAACAGACGACGATACATGCGAAAACTCCGGGAAAGGCAGACGGACGCTGCGCGCGGACATGAATGGCAGAGGGCTTCACCGTATATTGACGCCTTATGCAGCAGTTGACCGGAATCTTGCTTTTGCCCTGGCGGCCCAGTCCCTGTGTAGGTGGAGAGAAGACGAGAGAGACTGTGGGTACACGCCGGAAGCACACGCGCACTGCGGTATGAGGTCTCGTCAATTGCAGCCCTTTGGTCCCGTCGCGTCGCGCTGTGATGGCGCGCGCGCGTGTGTGGGGAGCTTGGCAGTGACGTGGTATCGATCGCACACGGCAACGGGGTGTTGACAGAGGCCAAACATTGGCCGCGAGTCATGGGCAGAGCGATCCGTGCAGCACATGCCAACACCGCCTATGCACCTTGTATACATACACCGGTCGCAACAGCTCTGGGATTCTTGCTACCTCATATTAGACCATATATTGGACTACAGAATGTATCCTCTACACACAACCGCCTCGGCGCCTTCAATGCGTGCCTCGGAAGCCTCGTTTCTCCCACATACACCCGCACCCATGAACGACGATCCCGGAAACGTCAAGGTCGTGGTGCGATGCAGAGCCTTTGTGCCGAGAGGTAGGGTTGCCAATGCTCAATTGATGCACCCAGACGCTGATGAAAGCCAGAGAAGGAGAAGGGCACACAATGTTTGATCCGCATGGACCCAGCGACGCAAAAGACGACTCTCTATGCGCCCGAAGAGGGCCAGAACAACGGACGCCGCGTCCTTGACGACAAGGAATTCACATTCGACCGCTCGTACTGGTCCCACGACGAGAGCGACCCGCATTATGCCCACCAAGAAGACGTCTATCGCTCTTTCGGCGAGGAGTTCCTCGACCACAACTTCTCCGGATACCACACATGTATATTCGCATACGGCCAGACAGGGTCGGGCAAGAGCTACACCATGATGGGCACACCAGACAATCCAGGCCTGATTCCACGAACTTGCGAGGAGCTGTTCGACCGAATCGCGCATGAACCGTCGCCTAACACAAACTACCACGTCCAGGTCTCCTACTTTGAAGTCTACAACGAGCACGTGCGCGATCTTCTCGCTCCAAAGACGACTCCACCTATCTATCTCAAGATTCGCGAGAGCCAAAAGGACGGTGTCTATGTCCAGGGTCTGACCGAGGCTGAAGTCAAGAGCTATGCCGATGTTGCGCGCTTGATGAAGATTGGCGACACGGTAGGTTCCTCCTCTCGTGCTCTTTTGACCGAATGCTAACTATGAGTAAAGAGCCGAACGGTTGCCTCTACCAAGATGAACGACACCTCATCACGATCCCACGCCGTCTTCACGATCCGCCTCAAGCAAATCACCCACTCACTGCTCTCTGACGAAACCATCGAACGTACAGCACGTATGCGGCTTGTCGATCTCGCTGGTTCCGAACGAGCCAAGTCGACAGAGGCCACAGGAGCGCGTCTGAAGGAGGGAGCGCAGATCAACAAGTCGCTCACTACACTTGGTCGCGTCATTGCTGCTCTGGCAGACCCGCGAAGACATGGTGCCAAGGGAAGACGGCCACGGGAGGTTGTGCCATACCGTGATTCAGTCTTGACCTGGCTGTTGAAAGACTCTCTGGGTGGTAACAGTAAGACAGCCATGGTTGCCTGCATTGCCCCAGCCGACTATGACGAGACTCTTAGTACGCTCCGTTATGCCGACCAAGCAAAGCGCATCCGCACACGTGCCTTGGTCAACCAGGACTGCATGTCGGCTGCTCAGCGAGACGCCCAGATTGCAGAGATGTCAGAACAAATCCGCAGTCTACAAGTCTGCGTCAATGCAGCCAGCCAGCGTAAGAGGGAAGAAGCCACAGAGCTGGACGAGTACCAGAGGCAGGTAGCACTCATGCAGCGTCTCATGGAGGAGAACCGTCATACTTCCGCAGCAAAGATCAAGGCCCTCACGTGCGAAGTCGAAGAACTCCGTCCACTGAACGTAGCCCTACGCGCAGAGATTGATTCATTGCGCCGCCATCTCCAGCTTGCTTTAGGGGAGCTCAAGAACCCTATCGTCCTCCCCCCACCGCGAGAGCTTGGTACACCAGACTTCGACAAGGAGGAATGGTTGGGCGAAGGGGACGGTGAAGAGAAGGCAGTCTCTGATGATGAGGCCAGCGATGGTGACTCGGATTCTGGCTACGACGAGGGTGACCACGACGAATTGGCGCAGGAGTTACACAACGAGGCGGAAGCATTCCTTCAGGATCTGGCCATGTTCCGCAAGAAGGTTGGCAGCGACAACGATCGCTTTGGTCTTCGCGAAACACTTGCTGAGCTCATTGGAGGACATTGAAGAAATTGAGCTTCTAGGGTAAAGGCCCAGACATTGGTTACGAATGCATGAGCGACGGCGTTGGGTTTAAATTAGGTTCAAATGCAGTAGGATAGTATACTAGTATATAGCCGGCAAGAGTAACGAGAGATATCCATAAGTGGTAATCAATTGTGCTGCAGTTCATGTGTGGAGTTGATGTAAGGTGACAGCCTCGGTGCGCGCAAGCTATGACCTCAACCAAGAGCTCCATGCAGGCACACCAAGCCTCCGACAAGTTCGCGCCATGATACCCCGATAGTCGCGACCAACCATGTCCAAGCCAACAGCCAACTGGGAGAAGGTCGGCGACAAGTTTTACAGGAAAGTGCAGCTTTACCAGGCTGTCTTTGACCAAGACCTCGAGCTCGAGAACTACAATGTGGTGGGGGCGCCGTACAGCGGTGCTGTAGGTAGGTACGTCCCACCGTCTGCCGACGATTGCGCAAACATGTGGACAAGATGACTGATTCGAGCAGCCGTCTACCGCGATGAGGAGAAGCTGCACGCCTACCGTGGACCCGGCGCGTCCAAATCGAGCATCGACATCTACAGCTGCGCGGGCAAGCTGATTCGCACTATCAATGTACAGGGCCTCTACATGCATTCGGGGAGACTATAGCATCAGACGCTGACAGGCAACAGTGGGACAAAGGCACCATCAAGGGCCTGGGATGGTCCGAAGACGAGAAGCTGCTCGTCATCACATCAGACGGCACCGTGCGCTGTTACTACGACCTCCAAGGCGACTTTGTACCCTTCACTCTCGGCCACGGCGCAGATGAATTCGGCGTCGTGTCCTGCAAGTTCTACAGCACCGGCTTCGTTGCGCTCCTTGCGAACAACCACCTCATATCCGTCACCTCGTACGCCGAACCACGCCCCAAGCTCCTCGCCATACCTCCCACGGAACCTGTCATATCATGGAGCATCATACCACCTGCCTACTCGCTCTCGCGGTCCGTGGAAGTCATACTGGCAATAGGGTCGACACTGTACGTGGTTGATGCGACTGAGGCTGAAGACCGCAACTTTGATGCCGGCCCGTTCAGGCATATTGCCGTGAGCCCCCGCGCGGAATTTCTCGCCTTCTACACAGAAGACGGAAAGGTGTGGGTGGTTAGCGGTGACTGGAACGAGAAGCTCAGTGAGTACGACAGCAAGATCAAGACGGTGCCAAAAGACATGGAATGGTGTGGCTCAAATGCTGTCGCGCTAGCATGGGAAGACGAGGTACATCTGATTGGACCCAGGAGTGCAGCAACCAAGTTCTACTACGATACCTGGGTACATCTCTTACCAGACGTAGACGGCATACGGCTCCTCACAAACGAAGTCTGCGAGTTCATACAAAAGGTACCGGATGAGGCGGTGGATGTCTTCAGATTAGGCTCAGACTCGCCTGCTGCAAATCTGCTAGAGGCATCTTCATTACTCGAACAAAAGAGCCCCAAAGCCGACGATCTCATACAGTTGATACGGCCGAGTCTGGGTGAAGCCGTCGACACATGCATCAAGGCTGCAGCGCATGAATACAACATTCACTGGCAGAAGTCGCTACTGAAAGCGGCTTCGTACGGAAAGTCAGTGCTGGACTTGTACTCGTCCGATGATTTTGTCGATACGTGCGACACACTACGAGTTCTGAACGCGGTACGCTTTTATGAAGTTGGACTACCACTCAGTTACGACCAGTATCGACGTATGACGCCCGAGAAGCTTGTCGAACGTCTCACAAATCGCAGCGAATATCTTCTCGCACTGCGCATAGCTGAATACCTGCATCTCCCAGCAAACCAGATTCATGGACACTGGGCGCAGCAGAAGGTTCGCGTCTCAACGGGTCCTGAAGAAGAGATCTGCAGTCTCATAGTCAAGAAACTACACGGCAAACCGGGTGTCTCATTCGAAGAAATCGCACGGGCAGCGTATGTCGAAGGTCGCATTCCACTGGCGACAGAACTGCTCAACTACGAGCCTAGAGCTGGCAAGCAGGTACCACTGCTACTCAACATGAAGGAGGACAACATTGCGCTTGACAAGGCTATCGAGTCAGGCGACACTGATCTCATCTATCACGTTCTCTTGCATCTGCGCAAGAAACTACCTCTTGCGTCCTTTTTCCGTGTCATCAATAGCCGACCTGTTGCTACAGCACTAGTAGAGTCATCAGCTTGGGACCAAGACCGCGAGTTACTAAAGGATCTCTACTACCAAGACGACAGGAGACTAGACGGCTCAAACCTCCTCCTATCCGAGGCCATCGTACAGGAAAGCCATACCGCCCAGCAAGACAAACTGAAGCTAGCATCGAAGTACCTCCAAGACTCTCGCGACAGCACAGCTGTCTTCCAACGCCAAGCCATCGACGATGCCGCCAAACTCCTCCGCCTCCAAACACAATTCGAAACCGATCTCAACGGCCCTCGAGACCCAGCATCGCCAGGTCCATTGGCAGGTCAGACCTACATTGGGCTTTCGGCAAACGAAACGATGTTCCAACTTGTCCGCCAAGGCCACTACAAGCGCGCCTCAAAAGTCGTCTCCGAGTTCAAAATCAACGACAAGACCTACACGTACATCCGTCTCCGCGCCCTCGTCGCAGCCCGGCACTGGAACGAGCTCGAAGAATTTGCAAAGCAGAAGAAAAGCCCGATTGGGTGGGAGCCGTTTTTCAACGAGATTCTTGGGGCGGGGAATACGAGGGTGGCGAGTGTGTTTATTCCAAAGTGTACGGGGTTGAGTGTGCAGGAGAGGGTGGAGATGTGGATCAAGTGTGGGCTTATGGTCAAGGCAGGGGAGGAGGCGTTCAAGGCCAAGGACAGGGAGTTGCTGTGTGAGATTAGGGATAAGGCTGGGGGGAGTGCGGCGGTCGAGGTGGAGAGGTTGGTGGGTATGTTGCCGCAAGGGAAGAGGTAGGCGGGAAGTTGTATTGATTCTGCTGCCACCAGAGCACTACCAAGTGTGTAAACATTTGGTTTCGTCGGGGGGTGGAGTTACGTATGGTTATGATTTTTTCTTTTGAGATATACAACTAAATTCTGAGTAAGATGATCATCACCGTGCCCGGACGTGAAGATTGCAGTGCCTTGCTGCATTTTGACCCTCTCCGTGCCATTATACTTTCGGGGTAGTTACAGCATCTTCTTGACTGTATGGCTGTGAAGACATCTTGGCGTTATGCAGCTAACAATGACAAGCCGAAGTTTAGGCGCGATGGCGAGGCTTGTGTAGTTGTCAGCACGAAGTTGACGTGATGTCTATTCGCTTGGCAACAGGGTATAACTCACCTATACGAAATACGAAGTGGAATCAAAGATCTAGGCGATCTACTCGTGATAGCATTCCCCCTAGCCTACTCATTTCTGACCCCGAGCTTCCAAGACGTCGGGACGTGGAGGCGAGGGTTCAGCATGTACCGCGACTACTTCGGGCAATTGAACATTAGCGTCAGCCATGTGCAGCAAGATCCGCTGGCAAAAAAGACTCGCTTCCCCGCGTTTACTAGGGCTGGGCAAGGATACTACCGGGGTCGTCTCCGCAGCCAACGATGAGATTTGTCTCTTGACGTCGTCATCTCGGTGTGTACTCTTCCGAAGAAACCGAGAAAAAAGTTGAGATCTTCAAGTCGGCAAGTAGCCATGGTAATCGAAGGGCGAAATGGCCATGGCTTGCGATGACCGGGAAGCTGCGGCAGTCAAGGTACATAAGCCTTGAGAATAAGTGCTTGTTCAACGTTTTGTAGGATTCGCGTTTTGTGGATTCAAGCTTTACCGGATATTGCTACAAGATGAAGGTGTCTACTACTACCTTGGTCAACTTGACAGCTGCCGTGCCAGCTGCCCTCGCATCAACGCCCTACTCTCAATACATTCTCGCGCCTAAATCACGAACCCTGCAGCCCGTCTCCGTCCACAGCTCAAACGGCTCCGTCACCAATCCTGAGAGCCTAACTACGAGCAGCGCAAATGGAAGTTCGATTTTCACAGGCGAAGCAGCAACAGCGTACGACTTTGGTATCAACATCGCAGGTCTCGTCACCGTGACAATCGGGTCCGTAAACTCGACTTCAGAGTACATTGGCGTCACCTTCTCCGAGTCCTCATTGTGGATCAGCAACAGAAGCAGCGACGCGACCGCCGATGCAGGAAAAGACGAGACACTCTGGTTCCACATCAATGGCACAGGACGCTACACGGCGCCCAAGGAGAAGGGTAGAGGCGCTTTCAGGTACATGACGTTGGTCCATAATGGCACGGGGAGTTTGGAGGTGACGGGAGCCGAAGTACATTACACGGCCATGCCTCACTGGGAGGACGATGCGTTAGGGAATTATACTGGATATTTCCACTGCGACGACGACTTGCTGAACCGTGTATGGTATGCTGGTGCATATACGAACCAGATTTGCACTATCGAACCGGATACTGGCGATGCGTTGGTCCATATCGGTGAAGAGGGGTACTCGAAGGACGACGATCAGACGCCGGTTAATGTAACGTGGTATAACAACTACACCATTACGGCTGGTAAGAGTGCGCTAGTTGATGGCGCGAAGAGGGATAGACTTGTGTGGGCTGGTGGTATGTTGATTCCCCAATAGCGACCGCGTGGATGCTGACGAAATTACAGATATGGCTATAGCCGTTCCCGGTGTTGTCGTATCCACCAACGATGTCATCTCCATTGAGAACGCATTGGACTCGCTGTTTGCTGTTCAGAATGAGACGAATGGTCTGCTTCCGTATGCTGGACGGCCATTTCCTCCTCAAGCTATATCCTTCACTTATCATCTGTACACCCTAATTGGTGTCGCTGATCACTACCTTTATACTGTGAGTACTATGGCTGCCCTTTCCTTGTTTGGGTCCTGTTCGTAGGGAGAAACTAGGAACAAGCGTGATGCCTTGGGTTACAAGCTCCAGCGTTTGCTAATCAAGCCACTAGGGAGACGTCGAATACCTGAAATCCCTGTGGGACAAGTACAAATTCGCCCTGTCTTTCTCGCTCGCGAACATTGACGACACCGGCCTGATGAACGTCACCGCACCTAACGACTGGCTTCGCTTCGGTATGGGCGGTCATAACATCGAAGCAAACGCCATCCTCTACTACACCATCAACCA